AATCACACCCACAGAATAATTCGATATCAATCCATTAACACAGACATCATCAGCAGCAGGTTTTAAAGAGTGATGATATCAGCTGACAGAAAGAAAAGGAAGCAGAATGAAAAATTCCTGCTCAATGAGCACTCGGGTGACTTTGTTCTCTCTGCTCTCATTATCTGTGTCAGCGCCCAGAGCTCCATCTGCCATAAGACATAAAAACATAGTAAAAAAAGAGTCTTGAAACCACGTTCTGACTTTTTGCTTGAAACAAAAGCAGGTTTCTGCTTTTTCTTGGCAGATTTCTTTGGGGTTGTGATGAAAAGTTATGTCAAATGCCGTGTGTCAGAGAAAGGAAACGCAAAAAGGCTTTCCTTTTCTTTTTCGGTGGCTGTAGTGTTTTATTCATGGATGTGCGCTCCTCCTCCATGACAGAGATTAAACTAAGATGTAGCCAGGAGCGATTTAAAATTCCTTTACTGTGTCATTTGAGAGTCAGTCAACTGTACCTTTCAGATTTGCTAAAAGTCATCAGAAAATACTCCACTGAGGGAAAAGTAAGGAAATGGAAAATGATTAATAGACACACCTGCACCTGTTTAGTACATACATGCATTTCAAAATGTTTGCCTAAGTGTAGCTCAGGCGTTCGAGCAGGTTTGTGGTTCGATCCCTAGTTTTAGTTTTACACCAGGCTGGCAGGACACAAATCACTGCTATCTTTGCACATATGTTTCCATTTTTATCCATATAAATGTCTTCAGTGACTCGTTTATTTGAGGCCTTCTTAACATAACACTGCGTTGTGGCTCCTAATGACAATTTTATTTATTTATATAACACATTTTATTACATGTAAACTGATTGTGCTTAAGACAGAAAATAAAAAAAATACTTTTTTTTTTTTACTTTCTTGGATTCAAGCGTGTATAACTTAGAAACACTAGTGAAACAATGAGTTTATTTTTAGTCCTTGGCTCTTGTTTGTTTGTTCCCTTTGGTCTCCAGTCTGTCTCTGTCTCATCTCCTGCGTGTCCCCGGGCACGTCCTCGTGTCTGCCTGCTCTCCCTGTATTCTCTAGTTGACATGTCTGTGTTCCTGGTTCCTGTGGCAGGGGATGAAGACACTCACTGGCTACAAAGACAGTCACACACAAACAAACTCCCTGGACATCACCTTACCTGACACCCTAAACCAGTTCTTCGCCCGCTTTGAACAAC